CCTGGGCTCCCGCCCCCCTGCCCGGGGCGGGGCGGGGCGGGGCGGGGCGGGGCTGCCCCCACCCTCCCGCTCCCCTGTGGTCCTACGGCTGGGCCCCCAAGCCCGCAACACCTAGCAAAGCCGAGACCTCCTCCCAGGCCTCGCTGGACACTGCGGGAGCCTCATTCACAGCAGGGGACCGCGAGCTGAGCCCAGCTGGGCCGGGGCTGGACGGAAGCTGCTGGACCCAGTGCCCGCTGCGTCCTGGGCTGGGCCTGCCGGCGGCTCAGGCCTTTTTCCGCTGTGGCCTCACCCTGGGGAACAGCTGTGGGGAGAGGAGAGGAGAGCTGCTGAGCCTAGGCTGTGCCCTGCTGAAGACTAGATCCCCCTGGGGCCGGCCCCCCTCCCCCCAACAGCAACCTGCAGCTCTCCCCCGCCCCCATCACCCTGCTGTGCCCACTACGTCCTGCTCCCCAGCCTGCCTCCCACTCCCACGGACGCCCCAGCCTGCTCCTCCCTGGGTCTCTGGTCCCAGACCCTGTCCCCCAGGCACTGCCCCCAGCAGCAGCTGCTCCCCCCGCCCCACTGCAAGGCCCCCACCGTGTCCAGTGCCTTCCCGTGTGAGCCCAGGGCTGCCCCGGGCGCTGGGGGGATGCAGACGCACCCCAAAGTAGTTGCGGGGCACGTAGCCCTCGTGGCCATAGAGCGAGGCCCACCACCAGTCGAGCTCCTCGGGGCTGTTGTGCTGCAGCACAGTGACCGCCTCGCCCTCGTGGAAGGACAGCTCGTCATCCAGCTCAGCACTGTAGTCCCAGAGCGCGTAGACCACACCGCCGTTGCACAAGCCCATGCCCTGCTCCACCTCTGCAGCGGTAGGCATTGGTCAGAGGGCTGCAGGGCACAGGCCCAGCCCCCTGCCCCTGCTCCAGTTGCCAATCCCAAGCCCCCACCCCACCACTGCACGCACCGGCCAGGTAGCTGAAGCACTCGGTGTAGCCCTCGCGGTACGGGTCGCACTTCTCCAGGGCCATGCTGCCGTCACTGAAAGTGGTGGCAAAGATGGCAGCGCCATGCTTGACCAGCGCCATGCAGATAGCTGTGTCGTTGCAGGAGGCAGCGCAGTGCAGGGGCGTCCTGGGGGCAGAGGTCAGGCATGGGGGTGGTGCCAGGGCCCTGGTCCAGCTGTCCCCAGCTTGGGCAGCAGGGAGGGGCTATGCTGGGGCTGGGAGGGGGTGGGTGCACTTTGGGCACAGGGAGGGTCAGGCTGTGCA